ATTGTATTGTATTTTAAAAGTTTATTTATTTATTTTTGGGAGAGACAGAGAGAGTTCCAAGCAGGCTCCACGCTGTCAGCACAGAGCCTGACATGGGGATAGAGCTCAGGCACCATGAGACCATGACCTGAGCTGAACCTATGAGTCAGACGCTTGGTTGACTGAGCCACCCAGGTGCCTCTTTAGTTAATTTTTTTTTATTATTGACTTTTTTTTTTTATTCCTCTCTAAGTATAACAGAAATTTCACTAACCCCATATTTTCTTAATTTTATCTTCACGTGTGTAATCACATAGGGACTATATTTTATCTCTCTGAATTTAGAATTTTCTGATAAGAAAGGAAAAATGTCTAAGGTTTGTACACACGACAAACATTAATACATTACGAAAGGAAATACTAAGTGAATGATACTGAAAATTTGTCAGACTTGGTATTCTCACGGAACTGACCGGACCTTTGAGGTTTGGAATTCAGGAGACAGAGCTCCAAGAATGTTTTCATGTAGGAACTTGGACCTCCAGGACCATGTGCATAATCTGGTTCTTAAAATAGGTGTGAGACATTTGTTTTCATTCTTCCTCAGGAAACCTGCAACCATATCATGTATTGTATCTTTCTTCCAGAAAGGTAGAACTACAAACAAAAAAACACACCTTCTTTTACTTTCCTAATCCCGTTTGCAAAGACAGGGTATGGCATTACAGCTGGTGTCCTGGATGTGAACTTCCCTTTTTATTTATTTATTTTCTAAAGTGTTTACTTATTTTTGAGAGAGAGAGCATGCAAGCAGGGGAGGGGTAGAGAGAGAGGGAGACTGAGGATCCGTAGCGGGCTCTAAGCCATCAGCAGCGAGCCTGATGCGGGGCTTGAACCCACGAACCATGAGACCATGACCTGAGCCGAAGTTGGAGGCTCAACTGCCTGAGCTCCCCAGGCGCCCCCTGAGCTTTCTGACTGATCACAAATGCTACAGGCTTGCACAGAACTTCGTCCTGTTAATGGCTGAGTCTAAGCCTAATGAGGTGGCCCCACAGTGGACACAGACTGTGTAGGAATCTATATGGAGTCTGGACTCACTTCAGCACCGACTACTTGGGAGTTCTGTTCCAAAGTTCTGGGTGGAGTCTCTCTTTCACACCGTGAGCTAGCTAAATGTTGTAGGAGCACCCGGTGTTCCACACTTCATTGACCTACTCAAATCAGACATGTGAGAGGTACATATTATCAAGAACTGGGGAGAAGAGATCAAGCACAATGGGGCGCTGGCGTGAGACACAGCCTGCCAAACTTTCTGTGGACCACGTGAGACAAGGAATTCAAGGAACCGCGTGAGACAAGAATCAGGTTACACTGCAACAGGCGCAAAGAATCCCTGACGATTTTGTTTCAAAAGTAGCCATTCTTGTTATCTTTACCTTGTTGAGTTTTACGACATTTTTTCCCTAAGGCTTCACCGCCTTTATGAGCCCGTCCTCCTTGAAATCATGCTTTCCCTGGTTTTATAATAAATATGTAAACTCTGTGCACTAGACTGTAGCTCTTAGCTCATAAATGAAGGAAACAAACAAAAAAGATAGAAAATAGGAAAACATGAGCAGAAGGCACCTTGGAGATGTTCCGGTGGTTTCCAATCCACTCAGCACTTGTAGGACGGCATTTACCAGGCATCCCCCCACCCCTTCATCACATGTACTGGGAGGAACAGCTTTCAAAATGAAGCACAAATTGAGAGTTCTATACCGCAAAAGACAGCGCCCAGAGAATGAGAAGCCAGAGTGGGAGAAAATAATAGCAAAGGAGATGACTGATAAAGGACTATTAATCCAAAATAGACAAAGAGCTCTTAAAACTTTGGAAGAAAACAAGAAATCCATATGAAAAATGGGCCAAAGACCTTCACTGATGCCTCCCAAAGAAGATATACAGCGGGAAAAAGCACATGAAAAGATGCCCCACATCCTACGTCATCAGGGAAATGCCCCCATCCTAGGTCATCAGGGAAACGCCCCACCTGCTAGGTCATCAGGGAAATGCCCCACATCATGTCACATCATAGGTCATCAGGGAAACACCCCACATCCTATATCATCAGGGAGACGCCCCCCATCCTAGGTCATCAGGGAAACGTCCCACGTCCTACGTCATCAGGGAAATGCAAATTAAAGCAACAAGGAGAACTACTATCCACCTGTGAGAATGTCCAAAATTCAGAATACAGAATTCAGAATACAGACATCGCCAAAATACCGACAGGGATGTGGAACAACAGTGACTCTCACTCCTTGCTGGAGGGAACGCAAAATGGCGCCCCCCACTTTGGAAGACACGGTGGTGCTTTCTGACAACATTAAATACGCTCTTACCATACATCTGACAATCATACTCCTTGGTATTTATCGAAAGGAGTTGAAAACTCATGTCCACACAAAAATCTCTATATGGATGTTTATAGCAGCTTTATTTGTCATCACCAGAACTTGAAGCGACCAAGATGCCTTTCAGGAGGTAATGGATAAATAAACTGTGGTCCATCCCGACAATGACACGTCATTCAGCGCGAGAAAGAAATGAGTTGTCCAGCCATGAAAAGATATGGAGGAACCTTCAGTGCATATCGCCCAGTGAAAGCAGGCCGTCTGAGAAGGCTACACCCTGTGTGATTCCAACTATGTGACCTTCTGGAAAAGGCAAAACTATGGAGACACTGAAAAGATCAGTAGTGGCCAGAGGTTAGTGGGGGGAGGGACAATGAACAGGTGGAACACTGAGGATTTTTAGGGCAGTTCAGCTATTTGTATGACATTGTCAGGGTGCATACGTGTCATTACACATTGTCCAAACCCATAGACTGTACGACACGACCAGTGAACCCGGGTGCGAATGGACTCTGGGTGGTGAGATGTGTTACTGTGGATCCGCCGGTTGTAACGAATGCACCATCTGGTGGGGAACGTCAACAACGGGGGACACTGTGCACATGTGGGCAAGGGATGCCTGGGAAATCTACGTCTTCTCAATTTTTCTGTGAACCTTAAAGCTTTTTTGTCTATGCTATAAAAAATAACGTCCCCTGAAAAACCAAGTACATTCCTATTTTTTGAGGAAATGGAGAACGGTAAGAAGAGGCAAAATTAATGCTGAAGAGGTCAGTACATAACCCAGTGCTACGCTGGGCCCTAGGCTTCCAAAGGACCTTCAGCATGGTATCGAAAACCGTGAATAAATGGCAGCATTTGATCTCCACTCCTCTTCTTCGGTAGAAGTTAGAGAAAAGTGGAATACAGTCCCCCCCCCCCAAAAAAAAAGGTCTGATGAGGAAAATCCCACCATCCTGAGTTCATCCCATCTGCCATCTGGCAGGCATATATTCCGTGTCACATGGATGACGTCTCAGCAGCTGTGGGTGACATTCTGCCCACCTAATCAGCGAGCGCCTCCGGTCTTCGTCGTCATCGACTCCAAGGTAGGAGTGACTTTACCCACCTGTCTGCTGGCAGAGCAGAGCACAGCGTTTGGAACAGAGCACGTGCTTAGTGAGTGTTAAACGAAGCTGAACGGGAGGGCTTTGGGGGAGCAGGCACGTGGCGTGTTTGGATGTCCCTAAGACATCAGAGGCACAGTCATGCTGTGCCCCCGTGTCCAGACAAACCGGACCGACCCTTCCGGGCATTCGTGCGTGATCGTGGCTGCGGCTGTGCCGTGTTCCCGTCGCCCAGGTGGAGAAGAGAACGGGATCCAAGCGGCCTCGTCTCCTAGACCCCCGCGGCCGCCGAGCCGGCGCAGACGCCCACAGCTCTGTCTTCCCGCCACTGCCCACACCCCCCGTTTCTTGCACATCTGCAGCCCTCACGCTCCCCGGCGAGAGGCGAGGGTGGTCCCCTCAGCTGTGTTTGGAGCGGCGTTTCGAAGCACTCGGGGTGCGCCAAACCATCCCGGCGCTCAACGCAAAAACGCGAAGGGGCGAGATGCCGCGCGGGAGCCAGCTTTCTGCGCCGGTCCGCACATTCAGAGCCGCCCTCCAAGCCCGCTCGGCCTCCTCCATGGCCCCCGGCTTCCACGACTCATAGTAATAAGAAGAATGACAAGACATAAGGTAAACGTGTTCGTTTTCAAGCTGCCCAGACCCCACCCCACGCCCAGCCACGTCACGACCGGAAGCCTGTTTTGCGGGGCTGAATCTAATACTAGCGTTTAGAGGGAAGGGAGATTCGGAGACTTCACCTCTTCTGGAGCTCGGGCCCAGCCCTCGCGTATACACTCGGACCAGAACTCTACAGTCTGGGAGCCAAATTTCCCATCGCTGTTTTTAAAAACTGCTGGGATCCCGTTCTGCTCTCGTCTCACGTGGATGTGGCCTCCTGGGGACCCCAGTGGGGAGGTGCGCGATCGTCAGTGAGAGGAACACCTGTTGTCCGGCTCCTGTACCACGTCGCTACCATAAACTCTCACCTTCACACCGAAGCACCAGTCACCTTCACGTGCGACACGTTCTCACGGAAAGCAATGGAGGCAGACCCTTAAATACGAGCTCAAACGTCTAGAAATGCAAAACCCCCAAAACAGCAGATCTTGAAAATTCAGGTCTTAGCCTAGATCTAGGTGGTGATTTTTGAAGAAATGAATGGGTCGGGGGGGAGGAGAGAGAGAGATTTAAAAGCTGAGAACTTCCTAAATGTACCCCCAGGTCTAGAAGCTGAGTCCAAAGACACGGTACAGATGAATGAATGGGTAACGACGAAGGGAAACGGAAGAGGAGCCTACTTCAGAGTCCTAGACTGTTCCGACCGAACACCCGGCCAGTCTTCACCATCATTCTCCCAACTGTCTCCCCCCACCGCCCCGCCCGCCCCCCAGCAGTGAAAGCACCTGCGGAGTCCTGTCCTTGAAGCATCGCACACACGGGTGCTTTGGGGTGTTCATCAGCCCGCTGACCTCAGCCTGCAGGGCTCGTTCCGGGAGCCCTCCCTCCCTCCCCAACTCGTTCCCGCCCCCCCCACCTCGACACGTGGGCAGGGCGCTACTCCACTGGCCGTTGCTCCGACACTGGGCCCGAGAGGCGCCCTGCAGCAGATAGCCCGTGTTGCAGGTGAAGTTCACGACGTCGTTCAGGTTGAACTCGCTGCCGTTGGTGAAGCCGTGGGCAGGGTTCCCGGGGTGGCCACAGGTGATGGCTGCGTAGGAAGACAGGCCCACAGCAGTGTCAGAAAACAACCAGGTCGTCACCCCCACCCTTGGAACACCTCATCGAGACCTTTACAGGCATGCCCACGTATGGACTCAAAGCCGGCTGTCAGATACCTTACAGGCTGTATTTACACTTGGAAGGGAAAAGGGTGACAAAGAACCATAAGCAGACCTACGTGTGTTTATTATAATTATGGAAAATAACCTACACCTGGGAGATGTACTTGCTTCGTCTTACTAATTATTCTTATGTCACGACAGAACGTCAAATAACTCTATAATAAAGCAGTGAACAACGAGAGGGGGTAAAATTCTTACACGAATTACGAGTTTTGAATATCTTCCCCTTAGAAAACACCAGCTAGTTTTGTGGAACTCTCATTTTGAAACATTACAGGGACTTGGCTGATAAATTGAATATACATCATTTTTTCCAATACCAATTTAAACATCAGGAAAGTAGCAAAATAAGTGTGCATGCTCAAACAGTATTTTCTTTGACAGTCGCCACTGTACGATCTTTAGAAAGGTAGTGAACTGTCATTAATGTCATGCCCTAAATAACAGCAATACAAATCCCAAAGATATCCTTCAGAAGCCCTTTCAAAAGAAACACATTACAGTCATAAAACTGGTGTTTTCCTCCTCATTTATCTTGTCAACGGTTCTTTCTTCTAAGTAAAGCTTTCGCCCCTGAACTCTGCCCATTTACCACCGCACTTTCCTAGATGATACCTGTCATTATCTATGGCTGCATCAACATTTCCTCTGTATAATTCGCAGGAAAATAAAGAATATACTAGGCGAAAAAGACTATTGGTGTAAAACAAATTTTGCAATAGAGAGTACAATGTCTTCTAAAAACACTAGTTGGTAGTTATCTTGGATGTTATAAAGTTTGAGGACAATCATTCCGTGAGATTCTACCTCTTTCTTTTAAAGGAAGGACTGCTGGCAAAACTCTGGATTCTTGTTGAAAGAAAAAATACGAAACAACACGGAAGATCAGGGGTGTGTAGCTATCCGGGGGACTCCGGAAAGTCAACCTGCGGACAGACTCCGTGCCTTTGCCCTCCTTCTGTTTCCACCCTGTTTACCCTGTGATGAAATCAGGTAAATGAGTGCACGACATCGCTCGTCCTGGGATGTACCTGTCTGAGAGGAGTTAAGGAGCACGTTCCCTGCGGACCAGCCTCTGGAGGTGCTGGAAGGGAACAGAGGGGGAGGTGGATTGGAAAGGAAGGGAGGAGCCCTGCCTGTAGCGTCTCTCTCAACACAGGTGAAGGGACGCGTCTCCATTCTGTCTCACTCTGGAGGTTACACACGTCTCTGCCAAGACTTCCTCCCAAGAGAAAAGGTGACCAAAGGAAGCACATGCTGAAATGCGTTCACGTTGTACTTACGGACACAGACGGGGGTCTGTCCGGACCACTTGTGGTCTTGCAGGCAGATTCGAACGGAAGTTCCAACCAGCCTGAAGCCAGGATTGCACTGATAAACCACAGTGTCCCGGTAGCTGAAGCCGTCTCCGCTGATATGACCGTTCACGATCGGGTCCGGGGAACCGCAGTGGCCAGCTGCAGACACGAGTAAAACCGATAAACGTTTTGCAGAATCAGTCTCTGAAAAAAGTACTGCATTCACAGCCTGTTTACCTTTACCGTCAAGTGCATAACGTGTTGGAATTTTTCCCATTTATACACAGTATTTTATGTAATTTTTTTGCTTTGTCACATTTATTGTTCTCAACAATTGTGGGTATCGAGTCATATTTCAAATATGAAATTGCTAACACAGAGGAATTGCTAATGAAGTTATTTCCCCGATTATGGTTTCCCCATGTATTTTCCTTACTTGTTTCTCTTACCGAGATTTTATGTTGTTACCGCTTTTCCAAATAAAAGCCAGGAAAGGGGAAGAGACACTTGGGATTAGTATTGATATGTTTTGTGACATGTTGACCATGGGAGGTAAGGATTTCCAGTGTGAGAGAGTAGATCGTGGAACTATTTGTGAAATTTCAACATAAATATCAGAAAATATGCTTAATTTCTTTTTTTATGTTATTTATTTGGGGGGG